GAAATACAAAATATTGGAGTTTCATTATTTTGTTCTTTTGTCTTTAAAATTAGAGATCTTTCCGATCACACTGGTACTTTATGAATACATAAATGAGAGTATAAAAGGCTTCAGATTAGGTTCAGAAGCTAGCCAACCTTCCTTTTTTTTTTTAATGTTGTGAACATCTAGCAATAGAAGTAAATGATAGAATTTTATTAATCAGGGAGAGGTTCATTTCTGACCAGGTGGCGTTAGGACATTGTCCTCCAAATTGATGCCCTTAAGTAACACTGGAGACACAGACGCATAACCAGTAGTCAACACAGGTGCCCATAGTGTGATTAAGTCTTCATCTATATCCTTCTTGACGGGGCTGTTGTACAGGTGGTGGCTTATTGCTCAGTTTCTTTTTGGTCTCAGTTTCACCAAGTCACCCTGTGGGCTAATGGAGGCTCTGCTTTTCATCCACTGTCTGTTTAATAGTGTCTTAACTCAAGATGGGAGTCAATGAAAATTTTCTTAGGCCAATTTCAGAGTCTAGGATACTGATGCTTCAAAGTCACTTGCTATTTGTTTTTAAAAAAACTGCTGTTTGAAAGTCCCTTTTTCATATGGTATATGATGAGTTTGGAAAAGCTAAATCTTGAAGACAGAATTTCAGTAAGCATTTAAAAACTACCATTATAGAATACTAGAATTTTTCTAATGCATTATCATGGGTAGATTAGAATTACTCAATTTTTCCATTAAAATAAGGAAATGATGATAGACTATGGCTTATAAATGTCTTTTACCAGCTTTTTAACATATTGTGTTCATCTTTGGAAAATAATCTAATGGAAGCAAATTTTTAATTTTTACATTGCCTTTTTATCCCAGGTGAAGTGTTTGTCTTAAACGATGGTGGAGAAGTTGATTTAGACCTTGGAAATTATGAAAGGTTCTTGGATATTAATCTTTATAAAGACAACAACATCACTACTGGGAAGATATATCAACATGTGATCAATAAAGAGAGGCGTGGCGATTACCTGGGGAAAACAGTACAAGGTATTATATTCTACAAACACTAGAGGGCCCTGTTGGCTGAGCACTCAAACACTCTGCTTAAAATAGACCTAAAGATGAGGAGGTCCCTGTGCTTTACAAGTTTCAGTCCTGCTCAAATCCCTCTGTTCTTTTCTTTCCTTCTTTTTCCCCACCTCCAATTTTATTGAGATCTAATTGACATACAGCACTGTATAAGTTTAGGGTGTATAGCGTAATGATTTGACATCATACAATGGTGACCACAATAACTTTAGTAAATATCCATCATTTCATATAGATGCAAAATTAAAGAAATAGACAAAAATTGTTTCCCTTGTGATGAAAGCTCTTAGGATTTACTCTTTTACATAACACAGAACCATGTTAATTATTAATATATATAATTAATATATTTATCATGCTGTACAATACATCCCTAGTACTTATTTATCTTATAACTGGAATTTTGTACCTTTTGTCTGCTTTCATTGGCTCAAGTGGTAAAGAATCTGCCTGCAATACAGGAGACACGGGGGATGCCAATTTGATCCTTGGGTCAGGAAGATTCCCTGGAGGAGGAAATGGCAACCCACTCCAGTATTCTTGCCTGGAAAATCCCATGAACAGAAGAACCTAGTGGGCTACAGTCCATGGCATCATAATGAATCAAGATGACTGAGCACACACTTACACATCCATTCCCCTGACCCATAACCACAAATCTGATGTATTTTTTTCCTTGTTTGTTTTTTAAATATAACTAACCTACAACTAACCTATGGGGCTTACCTGATGGCTCAGACGGTAAAGAATCCATCTGCAACGTGGGAGACCTGGGTTTGATGCCTGGGTTGGGACGATCTCCTGGAGGAGGGCATGGCAACCCACTCCAGTATTCTTGCCTGGAAAATCCCATGGACAGAGGAGCCTGGGAGGCTATAGTCCATGGTGTTGAAAAGAGCTGGACACAACTGAGTGCACAAACAGATTTGCATCAAAGCTTCCGTGGTGGCTCAGATGGTAAAGAATCCATCTGCAACGTGGGAGACCTGGGTTTGATCCCTGGGTTGGGAAGATCCCCTGGAGGAGGGCATGGCAACCCACTCCAGTATTCTTGCCTGGAAAATCCCATGGACAGAGGAGCCTGGGAGGCTATAGTCCATGGTGTTGCAAAGAGTTGGACGTGACTGAGCAACTTCACAACCTACAACACTATGTTAGTTCCTGTTATACAACATAGTGATTTGGTATTTCTGTACATTTCAAAATGATCACTACAGTGTCTATTACCATGTCACCATGCAAACTTCAAGTTTATCCTCCATGTTCGTGATTGTATTTTCATCAGTCTTTTCTTTGTTACTGATGTCATTGTTTCCTTTAGCCCCTTTTTCTGCCCTCTTTATCTTTTTCTCTTTAGCTTTTATTTATGAAATCCTTAGGGAATCTTCATCACATATCTGATTGGGTGTAGATCTGAGTCAATTTTTGTCTGTCCTTAATATGTTCTTTTTCTACTTTTTTCTTGAATCTTTGCATTGATGATGATTACTTCCTTTTGAAGAATAGCCGTGGGAAGGAACATGGGATTGAACAGGAGGGCAACATGATGACTTTTTTCACCAACCTTTTTCATTGGTCACATGTTTCTGTCAGGTTGGTTTACTTCTACAAAATATCAGATTGATTCTAGTGGAAACAGTTCTTTTATTAAGCAGACACTCCCAGGACATGGGAGCAGACCAACGGCAAAGGGGTGGCAACAACTCCCACTTGGCTTCCCTTTTTATACACTCTCTCTCCTTCTCTTGGTTCTGCTGTATGCAAAATAGGGCTTGACCCACCACCAATCAGGAAAGGGAATGCAAATTGGCATACACATAAGGCTGATTGACAGTTGCAAGTTACATAATAACAGGCTCTATTGTGCATGTCTTTCCCATAAGTCAGTCTGTTATAATCAGATGTATGTATGTATAGAATATTTATGAACCCTTAATGGACTCCTAGCTCCCTACAGTTACTTGAGGACACAGCTGTGCATCAAAGGCACATGTGCTAGAGTTGGAGAAGCCACTGTGGTTATTTCTGTAGACTATTGTGAGCTCTCCTGGGTGTGTCTGGGGTTTAGACATCAGCTTGCATCCTTTTCGGCTAGACCACCCCTCTTGCTCATGCCTAACTTCCTACCTAACAATTTTGATTATTCTCTTTTGTCCTCTGCAACCCTTGCCCCTTGTATTCATAAGTTCCTATGTGGTAGGCAACATGCTAGCAAAGTAATGCTCAAAATTCTCCAAGCCAGGCTTCAACAGTATGTGAACCATGAACTTCCAGATGTTCAAGCTGGATTTAGAAAAGGCAGAGGAACCAGAGATCAAATTGCCAACATCTGCTGGATCATAAGAAAAGCAAGAGTTCCAGAAAAAAATCTACTTCTGCTTTATTGACTATGTCAAAGCCTTTGACTATGTGGATCACAGCTAACTGTGGAAAATTCTTCAAGAGATGGGAATACCAGACCACCTTACCTGCCTCCTGAGAAATCTATATGCAGGTTAAGAAGCAACAGTTAGAACTGAACCAACGGACTGGTTCCAAATTGGGAAAGGAGTACGTCAAGGCTGTATATTGTCACCCTGCTTATTTAACTTATATGCAGAGTACATCATGCAAAATTCCAGGCTGGATGAAGCACAAGCTGGAATCAAGATTGCTGGGAGAAATACCAATAACCTCAGATAGGCAGATGACATCACCCTTATGGCAGAAAGCGAAGAAGAACTAAAGAGCCTCTTGATGAAAGTGAAAGAGGAGAGTGAAAAAGCTGACTTAAAACTCAACATTCAGTAAACTATGATTATGGCATCCAGTCCCATCACTTCATGGCAAATAGATGGGGAAACAGTGGAAACAGTGACAGACTTTATTTTGGGGGGCTCCAAAATCACTGCAGATGGTGACTGCAGCCATGAAATTAAAAGACGCTTGCTCCTTGGAAGAAAAGCTATGACCAACCTAGACAGTCTATTAAAAAGCAGAGACGTTACTTTGCCATCAAAGGTCCATCTAGTCAAAGCTGTGGTTTTTTCCAGTAGTCATGTATGGATGTGAGAGTTGGACCATAAAGAAAGCTGAGTGCCAAAGAATTGATGCTTTTGAACTGTGTTGTTGGAGAAGACTCTTGAGAGTCCCTTGGACTGCAAAGAGATCCAACTAGTCAATCCTTAAGGAAATCAGTCCTGAATATTCATTGGAAGGACTGATGCTGAAGCTGAAAATCCAGTATTTTGGCCACCTGATGCAAAGAACTGACTCATTGGAAAAGAGCCTGATCCTGGGAAAGATTGAAGACAGGAAGAGAAGGGGATGAGAGAGGATGAGATGGTTGGATGGCATCACCGAGTGGATGGACATGAGTTTGAGCAAGTTCCGGGAGTTGGTGAAGGACAGGGAAGCCTGGCTTGCTGCAGTCCTCGGGGTTGCAGAGTCCGGAAATGACTGAGCAACTGAACTGAACCTAACTGAATTGAACTGCATGGTAGGGTAAAGATGCTAGTTTTCCACCCCGCTTAAATCACCTTCAGGTTGAAAAACAGGTGAGAAGTAGATAAAGAAATTGGACAGATGGAGCTCAAAAGATCAGCTATGTTACTGCTGACCCTGGACGGTGTGGCTTAGATCTCAACTATTGATGCAGCTGTGCTTTGTAATAGTTTTCCTCCAAGTGTATGTATTGGGAAAGCCCGCGGGAGGGAGAGTTGCTGCCTCATACCAGTGACCCCCGCAAAATTAGGGAAAGGGCAAGGTCCCAAACCTGGGCCTGGAGTCTGAGTCCCTGTGCTGCCCACGTGTAGGGAGAGCTGACTTGCGCAGTCCTCACGGAAAGGGGTTGGGCTGGGCATGCTGCAATGGGTCGTTCCAAACGCACCAATCAGAGGCGACTTCCTCCCGCCTGGAGGCAGGTGGGGCGGTGCCTGGGAGCCGCAGGGGCCGTCGCGGCAGGCGAGTGACGTGACATGCGCTGCTCTGCGTCAGCTTTACAGAGGCCACCATTTCTCCTCCTTACGTCGTATTAGGTCAGTTAACTAGAAACAAAAACATTTTTTTCTGTTTTGTTTCTTTGCCTGAGGCCAGCAGCTGCAGGCCTGCTCAGCACTTAGGTACCCCGGGGCCTTGTGCGTGTGGAGATACCACCTTTTAGCCTCCTCAGCTGACAGTAGCCGCCGCAGGCCTCCTCCACGCCCTCTCAGTGACTCCTCCCCACTGGCGGGCGGGCTGCCCGGGGGTTGCAGGGCTGGGCCACTCTGGGCCACTTCTAGGAATTCGGCGTTCAGCACCCTTAGCAGCCCTCCTTCCACAGTTTTTAGTTGGCATTTTAGGTGTTTTCTAGTTGCTTCAAAGATGGCACTTCTGCTCTGTGTTTCTCTGGGCTTGGTAGATTTCAAGAGAGATGGAATAACATTTAAATGACTAAATCTATGTTGGTTCAGTAATATTAATTTCAGTGACATGGATAGTAACACTAGGACTGGAGCTTGTCTCATTTGCCAGGTGGCTTTCAGGTTATTTGGGAGGTCAACAGACACTAATTCATTTCTCATAGCCGTGACACTGAAATACGCTTTTGTGCTAATTATTACCTCTTTCTGCAGTTGTCCCTCACATTACTGATGCTGTCCAGGAGTGGGTTATGAATCAAGCCATGGTGCCTGTGGATGGTCATAAGGAAGAGCCCCAAATATGCGTTATTGAGGCAAGCATGGAACTTTATTTCTTTATAAGTTTGTATCCTTATCAGTTTTTTTAAAAAAACTTTTTTTTAAATGGAACTACTGAGATTTTTATTTTATTTGTTTTTTTTTTTGTCTGCACCCTGTGGGCATATGGGATCTTAGTTCCCCAACCATCGGTCAGACCTGTGCCCTCTGCCATGGAAGCAGGAAGTCTTAACCCTTAATGGTTGGACTGCCAGGGAAGTCCCTTCCTTATGGGTTTTTAAGCAGCTGATCTTCCTTCATTCAAGGAATGTGAATAGATGGTATCATGTGTGCTGGACACCCAGCTAGGAGGTGGGATTACAGCATGCAGCGATATAGATGGTCTTTGCTCTTTTGGTCACAAGTCAGTGGGCAAGACTGGCTTAAACTGGATGAGTACTCCTGGGATGGGCATGCACCAGTCTGTAAGTGGGGACTAAACAGTTGCAGAATGCATTCTACTCAGTGCTATTTGCAAAATGCTTTGAAAGTAAAGACGGAGTTAGGGAAGTCCAACTGTAGAGGTGATTTGGAGGTGAGAAGTGAGTATTAGCTGTTTAAAGAAAGAGCATAGTATTCTCCCTTGCCACTTGTTCACTGCTTCCCTTCCTCTCAATGTGCAGAATGAGAATAATATCCATGTACTCCTTATCTAAATGTCGGTTGATCTAACTGCCAGGCAGGAGAGGAGAATAATGAACATTTTTTTGTTTCTTAGAGGCAGACTGCCCAAGTTCAAATTTCTATCATGGCCCCCAAACAGTGTTTGGCTTAGTGGTTAAGAGTCTGGAGCCAGACTGCTTGGGTTCATAGCCCAGCTGGATCACTTATCAGCATGGCACTGACACACACAAAAAATTGTGTCGTGAGGTAGAAGTGAGAAGGAGTGCTGGAGGGCAGAGAGGGAGAGCACACTCTCATTTAACCCTGTGAGGGTCTATAGGTACTGTTAGTAGCTGGCTGAAAAAAGAAGCAAAAGTATTTCAGGTTAGTAACCAGTAGAATTAACAGTTAAGATTGGGATCTGGGGATAGGGGTACCAGAGAGCTGTAGCCTCATCTGTCACAGCAGGAAGTACACTTACATCCTTTAGCTGTGATAAGTCGCTTCAGTCGTGTCCAACTATTTGCGACCCTATGGACCGTAGGCCGCCAGGCTCCTGTGTCCATGGGATTCTCCAGGCAAGAATACTGGAGTAGGTAGCCATGCCCTCCTGTGAGGGATCTACCCAACCCAGGAATCGAACCTGCATCTTTTATGTCTCCTGCATTGGCAGGTGGGTTCATTACCACTAACCCCACCTGGGAAGTCTAAGAGGGTGTCTGAAATGGCTAAGTCAAGAAAGAGCCGAGCTGGATGAAGTTTGGTTTAGAGATATGGAGGTCGCCAGAAAAAATCCCAACAGAGAAGTTAAAGTACTTGGTTTGGGGAATCAGACTTGGGAGAGGGAAGAGTGGGGCAGGGAACTCTTGCTTTTTATTGTAAGTTCTGCTGTACAATTTGTTTCTTTAACCATGTGCATGCATTGTTTTAATTTTTGAAAAAACACAAATTAATGGCAACTGGAAGGTCCCATTTAACAATATCAATATCTTAAAGATCAGTCCAAGACTGATTTTATTCAAGCTCAATAGAGGGTTGGACAAGCCCTCACTCCTTTGGTTTACACTGATTATTTGTTGCAAAGTACCACCTTGTCCAGTATGGTAGCCACTCACCACATGGGGCTGTTGAACACATGAAAGCAGACCATTCAAACTGAGGTGTGCTGTGACTTTAAAATATAACTGGACTTCAAAGACTTAGTATTAAAAAAAAAGGTGTAAAGCACCTAATAATTTTTTTTAAAATTGGCAATATGTTGAAATTATAATATTTTGGATATACTCTGCTATATAAAATGTAGTGTTAAAATTAATTTCTCCAGTTTAATTTTGCTTTTTTAAATATGTCAACTAAAAACTTTAAAATTATGTATGTGACTCATCTCACGTTACATTTCTGTTGAACAGTGCTGGTCTAATGCTTTCACTGATTTTTGCTGTTGTTCAAGCAATAGGAAAGAGAAAGGATCTTCCCAGAATTGGTCCCTTGGCTCAAAAGTAATGACCAACCTGAACATTTTTTATAACTTTTCTATTGATTTTTTTTCTCACTTTTAGGTTTTGATAGATGAAGGAATAGCTTTTTCTTAATCCCAGGAAAAGTTCCAAATGGTCATGTATATGAATGTTTTTATTCCTTGATTCTGCTTTTATAAAAATATATATGTTTTAAATAATAATAACAAAAAAGAGAAGAGGAAATGTATTTTTTAAAATGTAATTGAGCTGCTGCTGAACTTCACCAAAAAATATAAGCCCTATTTAACCATGGGAGAAGTCTTCTTAACACTTCTTTTTCATCTTCCTAGCTCTCCTAGCTATTGTTTTTTGAGCATCCTCTTTGAACAAAGCTTTTATACTGTGCCAAATTGTCCTCAGGAAAATCCCTTCTCCTCTATACAACCTTGTTGTTTATATTTGCTTACTGGACACAAATCAGGTATCCTTTTGGGTTCATTTTAAGTTGTGCTCAACAATTTTTGGACTTAAAGGAATAAAAGGTTTCTTCTTTTCCCCCAAAAGGACTCCTTTACTTTTTTTTTTAAGTTGTCTTAATCTTCTTGTATATATATATTTAATTTTATTAAAGTATAGTTGATTTACAGTGTTGTGTTAATTTCTGCTGTACAGCAGATTCAGTTATACATGTATATAAGGACTCCTTTAGTTTTATTTTTACTTTTTAATTAAAAATTTCTGCAGCTTTATTGAGGTATAACTGACATATAACATTGTATTTGTTTTAGGTGTACAACATAATGATTTGATGTATGTATATATTGTGAATAGATGACCATAATAAATTTAGTCAACATCCATCATCTCACATAGTTAAACTTTTTTTCTTGTGATGAGAATTCTTAAGATTTATTCTCTCAGCAACTTTCAGAGAAAGATTCCTTTCCTTAAAGGTGAAGTGGACATGGCACATCTCATAGTTTTGCTTGCTGCTGCTTCAATTTCGGCTTTGCATAGATCTTAAAATGTTGTTATGGGTGATATTTTTCCTGTTGTACGGGAAGAGAATTAACTTAGGACTACTTTAGTAATAATACTGAAAGTTTCTGGTCACAGTGAAGACAATGGTGAACCAAAGGAGAGGTAATGGTACTTTCCAAATTAGCAGAGAGAATGCAGTACCAGTATAGGCCATATGGGGGCAAAAGCAGATAATGTTTAAAGTTTTTGCTTCCTTTTCTGGATTCCCTTCTTATTCCCAGAATACCGCCCCCATCAAAAACCAAAAAATGTCTCTTTATGGTTTAAAGTGCAGACCTCAGACAAGTGCTCAGGCCTGGTGCACTGGGAAGACCCAGAGGGATGGGGTGGAGAGGGAGGTGGGAGGGGGGACCGGGATGGGGAATACATGTAAATCCATGGCTAATTCATTTCAATGTATGACAAAAACCACTGCAATGTTGTAAAGTAATTAGCCTCCAACTAATAAAAATAAATGGAAAAAAAAATAATAAAGTGCAGACCTCAAAAAAATAAATAAATAAAGTGCAGACCTCTTTTTTTCCCCTAATTTTTTCCCCCATTAGCTTCTGATGCATTATAGTTAGGGAGCACTTACACCCCTCACCCCCCTGCCAGTTTCCTGATTGCATGTTTTATTTCTTGGATTTTCGTAATTAAGTTTGTCATTCACTTACAGAATGACCATATATTTCTATCTGTTCCATAGCCAGAAGACTTGAATTTTAATTTTGTTTTGTTATCTTAGTTAAAGTTAGTAAAGAATAATTTCTTCCGTAATAATGAAATCCTTGTACATCTTAGTTTGATCCTGTTGTACTTATGGTAACAGGTACTAGAATGCTGTGACCTAGGGCTTATATTAAATTTCAAGACCTTCTGTCCTGTCCTATTAATCTAAATTCTCAGCGCTGCCTGCAGGTCTCTGGGCTAGTGCTGGAGATACGGCAGGCAAGTTCCTGCCCTCAAGGACCTTACAGCCTAGTGGGGTAGAGAGATAGGAGTGGTGGTTTAGTTGCTAAGCTGTGTCTGACTCTTGCAACCCCATGGACTGCCAGGCTTCTCTGTCCATGGGATTCTCCAGGCAAGAATACTGGAGTGGGTTGCCATTTCCTTCTTCAGGGGATGTTTGCAACCGAGGAATCGAACCTGGGTCTCCTGCATTGCAGGCAGATTCTTTACCCACTGAGCTACGAGGGAAGCCCGAGAGACAGGAGATAAGAACTCAAATAAAATAATGGCACCCTGTGCTGTGTTACTAGGAAGGGCACAGACAGGGTGCTTCAGGTGGGTGGTCAAGGTCGCACTCTCTGAGGGACATGCAGCTCCCTGGGCTGAAGGATAAAAGGGAAGTAGGTGTATATGAAGAAGGTGAGTAGGAGGGCCTAAGGGGCAGGAAGGAAGAGCATGGCCTGTCTGAGGACTTGAAAGGCCAGTGAGATTGAAGTGCAGAGGTGGGGGTGGGAGAGTAGGGGGATGGGAAAAGGGCAGATGGGAGTGGGGACATGAGATGAGATTAGAGACATGTGCAAGGGCCAGATCATTTAGGTCCTTTTGTTAGCTGCCTAAAGGAGTTTAGATTTTATTTTTAGTGAAGCAGTGAGTTGCCGAAAGATATAACCATGGAAGAGAGGTATTCTGAATCTTAAAAGGTCACTCTGCTGCTGTATGACAAACGGTTGGTAGGATAGGAGAGGGTGGAAGCTAGGAGGCCATTAAAATTGGGGGCAGCCAACTTTGTAAAGGGCTAGACAGTACTCTTGCCTGGAAAATCCCATGGATGGAGGAGCCTGGTAGGCAACAGTCCATGGGGTCGCTAAGAGTCGGACACCACTGAGCGACTTCACTTTCACTTTTCACTTTCATGCACTGGGGAAGGAAATGGCAGCCCACTCCAGTATTCTTGCCTGGAGAATCCTAGGGACGGGAGCCTGGTGGGCTGGCGTCTATGGGATTGCGCAGAGTCGGACACGACTGATGTGACTTAGTAGCAGCAGCAGCAGATAGTAAATATGTTTAGTTTTGCAGGTGAGAGAGTCTCTGTCACAACTACTCCGCTTTGCCATTGTAGTGCCCAAGCAGCCTTAGGTGGTGTGTGAGTGGGCGGGGCTGTGTGTTGGTACAGCTTCGTGTAAAAACAGGCAGCAGGCCATCTCAGCCACCCAGGGCTTAGATGATTGCAGTAATCCCTGCAAATGGTCATGTTGCCTTGGGTGTCTAGGGTGGTAACAGTGGAGAGGTTTGCAAGAATGTTTTGGAGGTACAGCTCACTGGACAGGGTTGGATAAGGAAAAGCAGGTGGATCGAGGATGATTTCCAGACCTCTAGCTTCAACCAGTTACTGGGAAGAGATGCTGTTGCTGAGACGAGGGAGGAAACACCAAGACAAGCAGGCCCAGGGCTGTGGGGATTAGGAGTTCAGTGTGGGACATGGTAAGTTTGAATACTTACTGACCCATCTGAGACATCAAGGGCAAGTTGGTTTCAAAGCCCAGTGGAAAGAGAGGTCAGGGCTACAAGGAGATTTTAGACCCAGTCAAGTCCCCGAAACCAGGGAAGGTGGTGAGTTCTGGGCTTGGGTCCACCAAGATCTCTTATTCCTCCACATCCAGATCATTCCACTTAGCGCTTAAGTTGGATTCTTGCTTATTGTTCTTTAGCTCTGCCTTATTTTTCTCACTCGCTTCTGAGCTTCTCAGGAGCAAGCAGGCTTGTCTTAAATTCTTCCTGGGGGCTTCTTTATAGTGTTGAGCCTGTAGTAGATACTCAAATGCTAAAGAATTAATTTAAAAATCCATGTGATAATCTTTAAGTATTTAAATATGGTGAGGATGAATGGGTTAGAGTGAATTTTATCTTCGTCTAAAGTAAAATGCTTAAGTAACTTTACTGGCAGTACAATGTAAATTAAGTTAACATTTATCAAAGGATTACACTGGCAGGAATATTCTCAGGGCTTTTGGTACTACTTGTTTCAGAGAGCCAGCATGTTTTAATAGTAGTGATTTAATTCTGGTAGTACTACCATTACAAGGAGGCTGTTCAGCTACACACAAGGCTGCGTGTGGGTGTGTGTGTGTGGGTTCATGCAGAGATGGAGAGAGAATGCTATTTCGCACCGGGCAGAGCCAGATGGCTCTCTGCTTTCTCATATTGTCACTGGATTTGAAATCTCCCTTCCAATGGGACCACTGGTAGAAGCTAACTGATCTCACTCCTGGTGGTGTATATTCTGTCTTTTTATCTGCTTAGAAACTCCCTTCTCTTTTCTTAAAGTGCTCCTTTTCTTTTTTTCCCATTCCCAGCTGGGTGGCACCATTGGAGACATTGAAGGAATGCCGTTTGTGGAAGCATTCAGACAATTCCAGTTTAAAGCAAAAAGAGAGAATTTCTGTAATATCCATGTTAGCCTTGTCCCGCAGGTGAGCTTTCCAGATAAGTATGTAGACAGCAGCTCCTATAGGTTTTCCTGTGATGCTCTGTTTATTCCACCTTTTAAATCAGGAAGCCATTCATTATCCAGAAGAGCCTGATGTCCAGCATACTGACAGTGACCCATTTCTTTTCAGCCCAGTGCTACTGGAGAACAAAAAACCAAACCCACACAAAACAGTGTCCGTGCGCTGAGGGGATTAGGCCTGTCTCCCGATCTGGTGAGTTAAGGGGAGTGGGTAAGTTTTGTGGACTAGGACCTCCATCTCCTAACCTGTAGCATCATCTGAGTCCTAGCTCTCAAATGGTTTCAGTGACTGAACTTATTGTGTCTGGGACCTGGGGAAGGTTTATTCCCTCATCATCAACTGTTGCTTCACACATTTCTAAATTGGCCATCTGTTCTTCTCCAGGCCCTCATTTGATTGGCCACACTGACATCTGGGCAAGTGCATTGTGTGGTCATTTGTGTGATCCCTGGGTCCTTTGGAGAGAGTTGGGACCTGGGAGATTTTCCTCTGAACCTGCTAGGTCGGGTTAGCCCTTCTTTTGTTTATAGCAGTAATCCAGTTATGGCCAGTAGTCTAGATGAGGGGTGGGCAAGTAAGGGCCTGCAAGCCTGCTGCCTGTAAAGGAAGTTGTTCTGTGACTCTCTGCCACTCATTGTCCACATTTGTTCATAGCTGCCTGTGCACCATGGCAGAACCATTGAGGAGTCAGGGCAGTGACTGCATGACTGCAAAAGCTAAAGCTTTTACCATTTAGCCCTTTAGAGAAGAGTGCCAACCCTTGGTCTAGCTTTCTTCTTGTAGTTTTAGGAAGTAACATTTCTGAGCCTCATGTCTGTTCACCACATATGCTGTGACATTTATTACCAGTGGATTTGTGGTGAGTTTGGTTACACTTGCTCCTATTAGTGCTCAGACCAATTTCTAGTAACCCAGTGGGGTGCCAAGGATGGAGAAGTCAAGTCTCCATAAAGTTAAGTCAAGACTTGGTCAAGTCTCTTGGAGCAAAATTAACATAGCTTCCTCCTGAAAACCAGTGGCGGTGTGAACAGCTCAATAATTCCTGCCTGCTAACCTGTGCATGATTGACTTTGACAGATTGTCTGCCGGAGTTCAACGCCCATCGAAATGGCTGTGAAGGAAAAGATTTCTATGTTTTGTCACGTGAACCCTGAACAGGTTAGTGCTGCTCTTTAGATTTGATTGCCTTGCAGGCACTTCTGCTGATGCCAGCATTTTATACCTCTTAAATTATTGTATACTTTTCACAACATTTATAAAAGTTTTGGGGGACTCATATGCAACTATGGCTTCCTTGCCTTTAAGTGAACAGTCTTGAGACTACTGACTCCTTAAATAGATTGTGTATTTCACTCCTTAAATTTTAATTATAGGTATAACACCAGGCAGATTTTTTTTTTTAACTTGCAGTCAACCTCTGGAGAGAACCATTTGAAGCCTGCTTATCGTCTCTTTATCTTGTCTTTTCAGGACACTTACGGCTTTTACTTCAATTTCTCCTTTGTACTTGTTACAGCTTAGCTCACCTCAAACCACACATTACAGTGACATTCACACTATCACTTCTGATTACATCAATGGCCTCAGTTCAATTCATTGCTACAAAAACTACTGTGATGTGGGTTCAGGTCCTCTGTTCTGTAGGACTTTCCACCTGTGTATCTGAGAACTGGCTTTTCTTTTTTCTTTTATCCACTTATCTCTGTCTCTTGTTTGTAATAAGGCTCAGGCACAAGGGATTGGAGTTTAAAAGTGATTTGATGGATGTTCAGGAAAAGGGTGAGGTTTAGCAAAAATCTTTTGTTTCCTTCAGATTATCTTGAGGTTTTCTGAAGCCTAAAAACTACCTACTCAGATTTCTTGAGTCTCAGGAGTCAGGCTGATGTATTCACTGGCTGATGCTTCAGGGTCAGTGCACAAGTCTGAACACCTTTGAAAAATGTGATGGCAGATTTAAAGCACTCCTCTGTATCTGTATGTCATCAAGCCATTTTGGTTTTGTTTAATTGTTTTGTAAATAGTACTTGGTATGGATATCACACACATTTAACTGGTTTCTGAAATAGGAGGAGGATGCAGCTTTTAGAGTTGGGTTGCTAAGACTTCTGAGAACAGATGATACAGTCCAAACTTTCAATCATGTGGAATTTCTTTTCTTTCTTTTTTTTTTTTTTTTGGCTGCACTGCATGGTTTGCAGGATCTTAGTTCCCTAAACTAAGGGACTGAACCTCAGCCACTGCAGTGAAAGCACCGAGTCCTAACCACGGGACCACCAGGGAATTCCCGAGTTTATTTTCTTTATAACTATAGATTCTGAAGAATGTTCTATCTTGTTAGTCCACAGGCTAGCTTATTAGTCATTTTTTTAGCACATTGCTTTAAAAATTTTTTTATTGAAGTACAATTGATTTAAGGGGTTGTGTTAGCTTCAGGTGTACAGCAAAGTGAATCAGTTATATATATAAGTGATTATTATATATATACATATATCCACTATTTTTTAGATTCTTTCCCTATATAGGTCATTATAAAGTATTGAGTAGAGTTCCCTGTGCTATACAGTAGGTTCTTGTTATTATCTGTTTTATATATGGTTGTGTGTATATATCAATCCCAGTTTTCCAATTTATCTCTCTCCCCTGCCCCCACCCTTGCCTTACCTTCTAGTAACCATAAGTTTGCTGTCTACATCTGTCAGCACATTGCCTTTTTAAACATGAGTTAATTCTCCCATTTCTTAGTTCCTCGTGAACTTGCGTTTAGTGCTTTTCTCACCCGGATTGCCGAGGAGGGAATGGAAGGTCACAGGCATTTCTCTGTTGTGCTCTGTTACCATGATATTTGAAAAAATGTCTCAGGCCTGGAGGATAGATGAGTAAATAGCTCCACATCCCATGCCTTCTACTTCTGGGAGTTGTGGCTGTCCAGAAATTTAATTTTAATTAATAATTGGGATGGAGCATCATATCAGTGACATCTTGGCACTTTGAATTGCATCAAAGAATGCACAAATGAGACACAGTTGTCTTAAAGATAAAGTTGTCAATGTCCAAACAGCTTAAGAACCCTTGGTTGGATAGCTATGGATTTGGAAAGACTGAACACACAGAGTTTGCAGAACATTTCTTGGCATTTGTTTAGGATGTGGCAGATCCTTAAATGCCTGCCAGTAGCCCTTTATCTGTACTTGAGAGGATGGTGAAAGCTCATTAGGGTGTGAAAAACAACCGTACCACCTGGCATTTAAAAGAGCCTTTCTCCCCTCATAGGTGTAATTAACTTGACTGTGTTCAATATGTGGTTATAAATTTACCAAATGAAGGGCAGACAAAAAAAGCAACTATAGTAGCAGCTACAACAAAAAATGAGTGAACGAACAAACCACATACCCATACTTAGAGGACAAGGTGTATGTATTCTAAGTCTACTGTCTGAACCTAGACTGAGGAGATGGTGCCTTGGGCCATGTGTCTTGGATACTGACATATAAAGCATACATGTTCTAACACCAAATCTCTGACACCCTTGGGGTTCCTGCACTTCAACTCAGACGCTCAGTACCTGGAGTGAGCATCAGACTCTGCAGGCCTTTATAAGACTGCCTTGCACTTCAGACACCAGCCACAGGTTTCCATTGTTCCAAGCCACCCCACTTCTGCCTGGCTGACTACAAAGTTGAAGCTTCTCGTGACCGCCTCAGGTTTGATAATTCTCTAGAATGACTCACAACTCAGAAAAGTGCTCTGCTTATGATTACTATTTTATTATGAAAAGTGTAAGTGAACAGCCAGATGAAGAGACACATAGGGCAAGGTCTAGGAGAGTCCCAGGCACAAGAGCTTTTGTTCCTGTGGAGTTAGGGGGCACCACCTTCCCATTACATTTGTATATTCACAAACGAGGATGCTCCCCTGAGGCCTGGTGTTCACCATTTTTATTGGGGTTTCATTACATTGGCATGATTGAGTAAATCATTGGTCACCTGATTGAACTCAGTCTCTAACCCCCATCCCTTCCCTAGTGGTCAGGTGGCTGAAAGTTCCAGCCTTCTAATGACTTTCTGGCTTTAACCAACTCCAATCCTAAAGTCATCTCAGTGCCAGCCTCATTAACCTAACAAAGTTATTCCTGTAACTCAAGAAATTTCAAACGTTTAAAATATATATATGCGTGTATGTGTGTGTATGTATTCTTTGTTCCCAGTTCGTGGCACAGGAGATACGTATTTTCTACCATAGCATCCACGGTTCCAGGTGTAGAATAATGACTTCTTTATATATGGTTGTGTTTATATATGGTTCAGTGTTTTGTAATTAGATGAAACTAACCTTGTGTTAATTCTGACTCCTGTTTAGGTTGCTGAGTTCTTGGTTTTTTTCTGTCAGTATAAATAAACTGCCATCTCTCTTGAGTTTTGGCTCATTCTTGTGTATGTTTTTGTGGCATATTTGAGTCATTCCATTAAATATGGTGTTTTATCATCATTAATCAGGTCATATGTATCCATGATGTTTCTTCCACCTACCGAGTGCCTGTGCTTTTGGAGGAACAAGGCATCGTTAAATATTTTAAAGAGAGATTGGATCTGCCCATTGGGGATTCTGCAAGTAGTTTGCTTTCCAAGTGGAGAAATATGGCTGACAGGTACTGTGAATGGAATTACTAATGTAATCTTTCTTAATTCTTGACTTTGGGGGTAGGACTGAGGTCTACCTTAGAAGGTAACTATGTAGCAGTCTGCTTTCCACATGGGCATGTTTGGTTTGGGAAATATCTAAAGCCCTAGCATATTGTCAGGGTGTTTTGCTGTACTCTGAAGATTGACAGGGCCTTTGATTTTCCTCTACTTAAAGAAAACTGAATTGAAAGAACTTGGATTCCAGAATTTAAAAAAAAATTTTGGAAGCATTTTGATTTATTATTTAGTCTCTGAATATTTTAAACAGTTTAAAATGCCATAGGCTTTGTTTTGTTTTGCTTATTTTTAAGAGTTTTGGCTATGGCATTGTTGTTTTGTCCTGCAGTCATGAATTATCAGTGTCGGTATTAAAAACCCCTGATAGGTTTTCGCTTTAAGACAATCATATTAATTTCAGCAAGGTTTGTCTAATTTGATGTTGTATACAGAGGAAATCCCCATCGCCTATTTTCTTACACTAAATGTTGATGAGGCATGACTTCATAAACTCCTGGCTGTTTCACTTCTCATGTAGCTGAGGTAGAGGCAGTTGGTGCAGTAGTTACAAATGTAGGCTCGGTGTTGCTGAGGAGTAGATCTTAAAAGTTCTCATCATAAGAAAAACGTTTATAACTTTGTGTGGTGATGGATGTTAACTAGAATTCTTGTGGTTACCATTTTGTAATATATAAATATATTGAATTATCATGTGTGACTGGAGCTAATTAATGTTATATATCACATATCTCAATTTAAAAAATGTAAGCTTTGATGTCAGGCACCATAGATTCAGACCCTAGCTTCTCCTTTCACTAGCTGTGTGAGTTTAGGCAGATTACTTCATCTCTCTGGGCTTGTTCTCCCATCTATATATAACTGGGGGATGCTAGTTCCACGCTGTGGCAATTTTGAGAGAAAATACATTGGGCCTTAACTTCACATCAGGCACTGTTGGCTACTGATGTCTGTTACAATAATCAAAATATTTTTGGGGGGCTTCCCTGATAGCTCAGTTGGTAAACAATCCACCTGCAGTGCAGGAGACCCCAGTTCGATTCCTGGGTTGGGAAGATCCGCTGGAGAAGAGATGGACTATTCTTGGGCTTCCTCTGTGGCTCATCTGGTAAAGAATCCGCCCGCAATGCGGGAGACCTGGGTTCGATCCCTGGGTTGGGAAGATCCCTTGGAGAAGGGAAAGGCTACCCACTCCAGTATTCTGGCCTGGAGAATTCCATGGACTCTATAGTCCATGGGGTTGCAAAGAGTTGGACACGACTGAGTGACTTTCACTTTCACTTTCCCTGGTGGCTCAGTGGTAAAGACTCTGCCTGCAGTGCAGGAGATGCAGGAGACTAGGGTTTGATCCCTGGAGGAGAGGAAATGGCAACCCACTCCAGTATTCTTGCTTACAAAAATCCCCTGGACGGAGGAGCCTGGCGGACTACAGTCTATAGTGTTGAAAAGAATCAGCCATGACTGAGTGACCGAGAGCATTGACTGGTCAGAAATGGGACAATTTGAGCTTCCAAACAGATAATAATTTTGATTTATCGAAACCCATGAAATGTTTTTAAATGAGCAAATTCATAAAAATATAAAACAAGTGATTTGATGGTGACAAAATCACTGACCTTTGATAGATAACTAGTAGATTGAAAGTTCTTTTGCCCTTTCATTTTAAAATTTAAAAAGCATTTTAGAATTTGTGGGGTAAGTAGAACCAGGAATGAAGTGCATTTTCTGAACTTAGGTGCTCCAATGACTGGTGATACAGTTAAGCCCCTGTCCTCTAGAATGCTTAAGGAATCAGTCACATTGTGGGAATTTTCTGGGTACTTGGGGCTGATCCTTTTTAAGCATGAGAAACTTTAATATTTTAACTCTTTGTATTGAAACTAGTTCTAAACTGTAGTCTATGCTTCTGTGCTTTTTAAAGCCAGAGTTTGGTTTTTGTACTAGTTTCCTGTGGCTGCTGTAACAAGTTACCACAGAATGGGTGGCTTAAACCAGCAGAAATTTGTTCTCTCACAGTTGTGGAGTCTTGAAGTAGGAAATCAAGGTGTGAGCAGGGTTGGTTCCTTTTGGAGCTCTGAGGTAGAATCTGCCCCATGTGTTTCTCCTGGCCTCTGTGGGCTAGCTTCCTTGGTGTTCTTGGCTTATGGCCATGTCATTCCATTCTCTGTCTCTCTTGCCACATGTCCTTCTCATTTGTGTCTTCTTCCTTTCTCTTTTATAAGGATGCTTGTCTTTGCAGTCAGGGCCCATTCTAATCCAGAATGATCTCATCTGGAGATCCTTAACTGAATTGCATCTGCAAAGTGTCCCCCCCCACCCACCCAGATATGGACGCATTCGTAGGTTCTGGGGGACATATGTTTTTTTGAGCCACCATTGAGCTCAGGATTCAAGCAAAGGGAATATTGAGCAATAGTCTCTCTGTGTCATGTTGGCTGTGATGTTGGTCATAGAGGTGTGAAGTGTCCATATCTTCAGACCCCGTCCCCTCAGTCCAGCCTCTGGAGAGATGGATACAAGAAGGCAAACAGAAGTCAAAGGGGCAGCCTTGATTGTGGAGGTCCAGTGCTGCTCAGAGGCCTCATACCCAGCTGATGGCTGAATGGAGAGCACAGGGGGAGGGAGGCAGTAGACTGGTGCAGGTTCAGGAGCGAAAGAGGGCACAGGGGTGTAGGCTTAGCATATCTCCCCGGACGGCAGCTGGGCTGACCAGTGGCCTCCCCTGTCCCACCCGGCTGCTGCGTGACTCCTCGTTCCCTGGGAAGACAAGCCACAAGTGAGTGGAGAGAGGGATGTGTGGAAGGAGGGACTGGCCATGCTGACTGCAGCCCTGTGTCCCTCTGGCAGTGGAGGTGTGAGAGCGGGGTGAAGCCTCAGCCAGACTGCTGTGCTCACCTGGGCCAAACTCTGGGACAGGATGCGCTCCCACCCCATCACGTCATCTTGGAATGTTGCCTTGGTACCAACTTGCTTTGTTACCTACGTCCTTTGTACAGCTGAAATGAAGCGCAGGCAGGCAGTCTCCAGAGCGACATAAAATTAAGTGGCAAGTTAAAGGTTTAACAGCATTCTCTGACGTTTTTCAGTCACCTTCCTAGAAAGTCACCTCTGCTGTCAGTTTTGACTTCTTAGCTCTTCGTGTGTTTTTCTCCTCCTACCACTTCCATCACACTTCTCTTTCACTCTTTGCAGATATAGATATAAAAGAGGAATATTCCTCATCCCAGTAACATTTTTCTAAGGTGTTTGGGGGAAGACTTTGCTTCAGAGCCTTAAAAGATCTTCAAGCCCTGAGTGACATTTCCACATACTTAGTACCAGACCACACGTTTTTCATGTACTTTGAACAGATCTCCTGGCAGAAGCAACAGTAAAGACTGTGTCTCTAATGGCAAATTGTGATTGAGCATCTTATGTAGAATGGAATTTTCTCATAAAAATGATGTAAGTGGCTTATAGTATTTTAAATAGTTCTCTCAGCACCATTCTTCAGGAATGTCATAAATAACTTGGCTTTTGTGGGTCAGCTGGGAATGTAACAATTTTTAATGTAGACATTTTGAATGCATTCTCTCATATGATGTCACCTTACAAAGTTAATATTATAGTGTCTCCTATTGACACTGAGAATGCATTTTCTTATACAGTGTCACATTATAAGTGAATTTAAGGACAGCTCATGTTGATGAGATGGGGAGACTTTTTTATTTTTTATTTGTAATGCTTTTAACTTTTTCTTTTTCTCCTTGGATTTATGTCTGTGCTTGCTCATATAAGCCAATGTTGGGCTTTCTCATGATTTTCAAATATCTTGGAGTACAGATTTTTATTCTTTGGGGGTAGGGTGGAAAATTTAAGTCAAGTACATCAAATACAAGGCATGTCTGTTCCTCAGGTTTTAAAGAGTGCCTTGGGATAAGAACAGTGGCTGTCATTATGCTTGTGATGTGCTGTTACATGCATATAACCTTTAAACTTGTTTTCCTTCCCAGGTATGAAAGGTTACAGAAAACATGTTCCATTGCCCTGGTTGGCAAATACACCAAGCTCAGAGACTGCTATGCCTCCGTGTTCAAAGCCCTGGAACACTCAGCCTTGGCCATCAACCACAAGTTAAATCTGATGGTGAGCCCCTGCCTGGTCTTCTGCATGTTTTAGCCATTCATTGTGAAATCTTGTGTTGTACAGAGGCAGGTTGTGTTGAAGGACCCCCAAGTTCAGTGATTCACCAGGACTCAGAGGACTGAGCATACAGCTGTACTCATGAGTATAACTTATTTTAGTGATAGGATACAGAGCCAAATCAGCAGAGGAAAAGGCTAGTCGGATAAAGTCTCGGGGAAACCACCTTTAAGCTTCCAAGGGTCCTCATCCAGTGAAATCACAGAGGACGTGCTTGAATCCCCCAGGAACAAGCTGTAGCAACACTGGTGAAGTGCTGACTGTCAGGGAAGCTCATTAGAGACTTGGCACCCAAGGTTTTTACTGAGGGCTGGTCACATAGGTGCCCTCTGCCTCCAGAGTGTCAAAATTCCAGACTCCCAGGAGGAAAGCAGGTGCTCTACATAAATCATATTGTTTCTTCCAACACTGTAGGCACAGCGAGCCACTCTTATCGGTTCTTGTTAATAGTGGGCGTGTGTGCATGCTCTCATCGTTTCTAACTTTGCGAACTCATGGATTGTATAGCCTGCCAGGCTCCTCCGTCCATGGGATATTCCAGGCAAAAATACTGGAGTGGGTTGCCATTTCCTCCTCTAGGGGATCTTATCATCCCAGGGATCAAACTTATATCTCCCGCGTCTCCTGCATTGCAGGCGAATTCTTTACTGCTAACCCAGCAGGGAAGCCTGGTTATGGTGGGAACCCTCCCCAAATCCAAGTTTCCAGATGCCAGACAAGGGCCAACCTTGTAAGCAGGCCTTTCCAAGGATAGCGGTCAGGCCTGCCATGTTAACTTTTTTCTGCATGCAGGTTTAAGGCACAGTTTCTGAAATTAGGCTTTGCACATTCAGGAACGTATCTACTCCATGCTCATTTAAGTATTTACTTTTGTAAATACTTTTGTATTTGTGTTTACTTAATAAGAAAATGGGGCTTCCCTGGTGGCTCAGCAGTAAAGAATCTGCCTGTAATGCAGGAGCTGCAGGAGATGCAGGTTCAGTCCCTGGGTTGGGAAGATCTGGAGGAGGGCATGGCCACCCACTCCAATATTCTTACCTGGAGAATCCCCATGGACAGAGGAGCCTGGCGGGCTACAGTCCATGGGGTTGCAAAGAGTTGGTCACAACAGAGCACATACACACACATGCACATATGGGATAGCAGAGGCGAAGTTATATATATATAGCTTGACTATACTCTTTGTTAGATATAGAAGTAGTCTATGCTCAGCGTGTAAAATGTAAGCAAAGCATAATGCAAAATCCAGAAAGTAGAAGATTCTTCCTCTCTGAAATCCTTCTCTTGCTGTACCTGTCATTCCCAGTTTGACACATATCTTTCCAAACTTTTCTCTCTATATATAAATGTGTATATTTAATGATATTCTCTCTGGGTATATCACAATTTAGGAAGGCTTTATTATCTTGATTTAAATGGTAAAACCTTTATATAATAAACCAAAAGATACAGTTACATGTTCAGGAAATTGAGTAATTTCCAGCTTAGGACCTATCTGATTTTCTCTCATCTCTTTGTAGCTTCTTTCTCTAAACACTTATTGTTTTTGACTCTTAAAGGAATTGTTCCCTTCCTATTCTTCCTATTCATTCAGCTTCCCCAGGCCCTCATAGAAAAAAGAAAGCAATAATAGAAAATCTGTTTTAATACAAATTTTATAAAGTAAAATTTTGTATCTTAAGATATATTCAGATAGTAATTTGTATAACATAAATACTAAAATAACACATATATAGGGACTGTTATGTACACAGGAATTGTCATAACTGTTTTTCTTGTAATAGAGTTCATTGATGGTGGCCTCTACTAAGTCTTGTTTGAATCATGGGCTTGTGCTATGTTTATCTTGCCTGACTTTTGCGGCTGTTTCCCAACTGGTTTTCAGTCTTCCCTCCATTTCCCTCACTGAATTTTTCTAAAATCACTCTCTGTTCCTTCAGACCTTTCAGTCACTTCAAGTGTTCTGTCGCTGCATGGAACTTCTTTTGGTGTCTCCAGAGTGGTCACCACTTCCTGTCTTTTGTCTGCAGTTTCATACAAGCTGTTCTTTCACCACCACCCCTCTCTACACCCCCACCCTGCATCCCTTCCCACCTGCCTCCCAACTACACACACACACACACACACACACACACACACGCTCGGCTTGCATCAGCTCCAGGGCTTAGCTTCTTGGACATCCCCTCCCCCAAAAGCTTCCATGAAGGTGCTCCTTCCCTTCTCTCCAGCTCTTTGTTCCGCAGTATTCTCTTCTTTGCCCATAGTAACTCTTATCTCCCTGTGCTGTGGGTGCCTATTTATCTGGTTTTGTAATCTTCCTAAAAGATTGTAAGAGCCACAAGATTTCTATGCTAAGTGACCAGTACAGTGTTTGCATAACTAGTTATTGAATAATTGTGTGTTAGATGGTTCTAGTATTTTCCAGTTTTTATTTTTCTGAAATCTTTAAATTTGTTGGATGTTTTTAGTACATAGATTCCATTGATCTGGAGCAGACTACTGAAACTGAGGACCCTGTGAAATTTCATGAAGCTTGGCAGAAGCTCTGCAAAGCTGAGTAAGTACCAAGGACTTTCCATGCCAGTTAGGAGAATGCCACTGATTTTTCCATAATGATTCAACTTACCCCAATTACTGATTTTTGTGCATTTGAAAGATAGTTTGGAGTACTTGTGATTCTGGGTGCTTGTACTGCATTCACATTGCATTTACTTTGAAACATGCCATGTTAGTATTAGTAGCCCATGCAATGGGAATGGTTTTATTCTGGATAAACACTCTCATTTGCAAACATGAGAGCTCAAGAGAAAACTGGAAGGTCATGTTACCCTTCATGGCACAAAACAATGCTACCCCCAAGAGTTATATTGATTATTTAAAAAAATAAAACCTTGAATCAAAAGATGTGGAAAAGAAAACAAAACCAAGAGGAGGGAAGATTGTCATTCTTGCATTGTAACTGTATATTTAAGGTCTGTCTCTATATTTTTCCATAGCATCAACTCACTTTCTCCTCCCCAGAATAAGACCACCTTCACTGCACATGCCACTAACACTAACATGGCATGTTTCAAAGTAAATTGGTGAAATAGGCCTTAGATTTTGATGACTAATTAAGTTGTAGCACAGCAAAATTTCCTGGCTAGGAGCCACTTTAGAGACTTGAAGCCACTGAAAGGTCTGAAGGAACAGAGAGTGATTTTAGAATCACTCTGGCTCAGTGAAGGAAATGGAGGCAAGTTTTTACCATATTTATGGGAAAGTGAGTTGATGCTACAGAAAGATGCAGAGACAGACTTTCCATGTACAAAGTTACAGTGCAAGAATGACAGTCTTCCCTCCTCTCTTGGTTTTGTTTTCTTTTCCACATCTTTTGATTCAAGGTTTTATTTTGTAAGTAATCAATATAACTCTTGGGGGTGGCATTGTATTGTGAGGATAACATTACCCTCCAGTTTTCTCTTGAACTGTTATGTTTTCAAATGAGAGTGTTTATCCAGAAAGTCTCTAAAGTGGCTCCTCGCCAGGAAATTTTCCTGTGCCACAACTTGATTAGCAATCAAAAGGTCTATTTCACCAGTTTAACTCTATCTGATTATGTAAGAGGTCTTAAAACATTTTTATAACAGTACTTTTAAAAGAACCTTAACCTATTTTTCTTCAGATAATTCTTTCAGTGGCATTTTTAACTGAATTGAGTCTCTTAGTTATATGGTCATGTGCTGCAGAGACCTGTCAGGAAATATATATCAAGGTCAGTTGTGAGAAATTGTCACAACTGCTTTATAACATTGGGAGGATTTCAAGAAGAAAGTTCAGGATGTGAAATTATGTAATCAATTTTGAAAATAGACTCCAAGCGTATTCTCTAGCAGTTGTGCCAAATGTTGAATTTGGTTTCAATAAGCATGATCTGAAAACAAGAATTTCACAAATAAAAATGTCAAATTTCCCCTCCTTTTGTGTTGATTGCAGTGGTGTTCTTGTGCCAGGAGGCTTTGGAATCAGAGGAACGTTGGGAAAACTCCAGGCAATTTCTTGGGCACGGTCAAGGAAGATTCCTTTTCTGGGTAAAACTGATGTTTATGAATCCTGAGTATGAGTTTTTTTAGATTTTTGATACCTAGTTCAGATAACACATAATAGGGTTTGTTAATGTGAAAAGTGTGATTTTGAATTTCAACATTCAGGTGCCAAATAGTTTACTACAGGGTCTGGAAACTATATTCTACAAGCCCTACCTGGCTCACAGCATTTTTGTAAATAAAGTTTTATTGGAATATAGCCACACAGATTTGTTTGCATATTGTCTGTGGCTGTTTTTCCAATGCAGTGGTAGAGATTGAGACCCTACAGCATGCAAAGCCTAAAATCTTTACTCTCTGGCCCTTTACCAAAAAGTTTGTCAACCTACAAGAACTTACCACTGGTCTGGTTGTATAGCAAGAGGCTGGGAAGAACCTGTGTTCAAACCTGCCCTTACCTTTTCCGATTCCCACCTGATTATATCTTTTGCCACTTCAAGCAGAGAACATCTCAGTAGGATGCCACAATGTTACTTCTAATCAGAAAAAAAGCTTATTGAAATGTATATATTCCTTCTAGAAAAGATAATACAGAAAAATCATCTAACATTACAGAGACAGCTCTGTTAAGAATTAGAGCTGGGTGTTTTTAATGCTTTTGTTGAAATTGCAAAGCATGGCTTCCTTAGCAATGAAACTCGATGTAATAGAACATTGATGGGATAACAAGCAGCTCTGCGACTGGGGGTCCAGAAGGAAGAGGGAGTGGGGAGAGGCTGTGTTTCATGCAGTGCTTGCATGGGCTGCTGGGTTTATAAACTGAGTGGACTGGCTTTGGTACCATTTACTTAATATCAACAGGTTCATTTCCCCCACTTGCCTGTTCTTTAACTTCCTAGACACTCTCCATTAGGGATCCATTTTCAAAAGAGAAGCTAGGAGTAGTTTACCTTGGTACCTTGCTTTGTTTTATCCATCTAAGCTCACCTGGGCCACTGTTTTCTTTTGAAGTAATCTTGTTTAGTTTCTGTCTGAACATGATTAGCATTCTTCAGATAATTTTCACTGTACAGAATAGTTTGCAGCTCTATAGCTTTCTCTTTAACACACTGTCTGTGTGTCCTAGCTTTGTGGGACTTTCTGAAGTCCCTCCAAAGCACTCAGCTGTTTCACGCTTTTTGACTTTTGTTCTGGCATGCTTGATGTATTGATTGCTCTCTCCTTTGAGTCCCTGTGTATCTTGGATATATCTGTAAAAGCATCTGGAATGCTCCTTGACGTTTGTTTATTGGAGAGTATTGGTAGGCCACAGTGAATGCGGGGATGGGCAAGGGGTGCATCCCTGTGGCAACAGGCCCGGGCCTCTGCAGGTCCCTTTCTGTCCTCATTGAGCTCTCTGCTCAGTTCCGTTTGGCTTCTCCATCATGCTCCAGCCTGCAGTGGAGGTACCAGCTCGCCCGGCTGCTGCTGCTTCCTTGTAGTGAAGGTTTAGCCTGCTCTGGGCTCAGCAGCTGGGCACAGACCTCCTACTCCCCTGCCTGCCTGTGGGCGCTCCTTGGAGCCCAGCCTGCTGCCAGGCAGGGGCTGCCTGCAAACAGAGCCCACATTTAAGGCCATGAAACTATCTAGAGAAGAGAGAGTGTGAAGACTCAGCCCACAGAGACTCCCTTGTGAATTGAGGTGTTGTTAGACATTCTCTGAAGGAGTTGGGTGCTCTGGGGCAGCCCTGCAGGCCACACGTGCGCCTCAATCTAGAGACACATTTGGAGGTAGGCAGATTGGCCTTTTGGACCTTGCCTTCTCATTTCCTGCCCTTTTCCAACTTCGCATTTATTTATTCCTACTTCAGTTTGGGTCGTCCAAACCCCTTCCCTGCCCCTGCCACGCCTGTTCTGAGGGCAGAAGCTTCAGCAGCAAACTTACTCTCTTGCAGCCTGCATTCTAGATGGAGAAGATAGCAAACAAATGAACAGAAAATATGACACAGTACAGAATAGTTTCATTTGTTTTGTATATGTGCTTTTTAAAATAGGAGTTTGCCTTGGGATGCAGCTGGCAGTGATAGAGTTTGCAAGAAACTGCCTTAACTTGAAAGGTAAGTCTGAGATTTTCTAAATACCTCTTAGTGAAAAGCATTCTTATTACTTATTTTTCAGTTACATAATGGTGAGTTACTGAACTCATTTCTTTATCTTCAGATGCTGATTCCACAGAATTTGAGCCAAATGCCCATATTCCTGTGGTAAGTGGATTATTTATCTTTTTGGGTTGGGTCATTATTTTGTTTCTGGCTCTAGCCTATGCTCTTAAGGGGCTATTTTTTTTTTCATTATGACATCAGGACATTTTAATTATATATGATTTTGCTTATTCTTATTACTCTATTGTTATTAGTTTAGATCAAACCACTTTATTCTCCATCGTCCATTTTGTCAGCTGTGTCTTGCAGGAAGAAACGGTCCTAGACTGGTTTCTCTGCAGTAGTTTTCAAGCTGAACATTCAGGAAAAGGTTGAGTTGACTTTGACAACAGTTTATCAGAACTGATGTAAACACACAGGCTGTCCTGTCTCTAGACCCATCCTTGTCTGTTCTTTTGCTGCTCCTCAGCTTATCAGTTCCTTTTCCCATAAAATAGTCCAAGGATTTGGCCAGGAGCGAAGGCTACTGTGCTCTGTCACCTGCCACCCTGCTAACTCATCCCATGGCATCCCTGTCCCTCCATACTTGGAGTTTTAGAGTTGGACAATCTGAATGACATTCCCTACACCTGAGATCTCTCCTGTCCTGCAGCCTCCCTACCCCTGGAATCTCAAAACCAGTGAAGAATTTAATTACATAAGTAAACCCAATCTGATTACTGATGACTTCCTGTTGATCCTGGGAAGCCTTTCCTGACCTCTGCCTTTTATGCCTTATACCACCTCTATCAGAGTATACACCTCATCATTGTGATTTGTTTTTTATTAACAATTTTATTGAGATATAATTCACATACCATAAAATTTAGCCATTCAAAGTATGTAATGCAATGACTCAGCACATTCAGATTTCTATAATCATTACCACAGTCAATTTTGGACCATTTTGATTGCTCTAAAAAGAAATCCCACACCCTTTGCTGACAGCCCCAAGCCGCCTATGCTCCCAGCTCTGGGCAGCCATTCATCTGTTTTCTGTCTCTATGTATTTGCCTATTCTGGCCATTTCACATACAGTTGACCTTTGAATAATGCAGGGGTTAGGTGTGACTCTCCGTGCAGTCAAGTATCTGTCTATAACTGCTAATCACCTCTCCATATATGCATTCCTCCATATCTGCAGATTCAACCAACCATGGATCATGTAGTACTGTAGTATTTACTATGAAAAGAAAGGCTTGTTTAAGTGGACCTGTACATCTCAGACCTGTGTTGATCCACTGCAAATGGAATCATACTGTATGTGGCCTTTTGTGACTGACTTTTTTCATTTAACATAATGTTGTCAAGGTCTGTCTATGTTGTAGTATCTATCAGTACTTTGCTTCTTTTTATTGCCAAATAATATTTAATTATATGGCTAGATTACATTTTATTTATCTGTTCATACTTTGATGGACATTTGTTGTTTCCATCTTTTGGCTACTGTGAATAATGCTGCTATGAACATTTGTTTACAAGTTTCTGTGTGGACGTATTTTTTCATTTCACTTGGGTCTATACTTAGGAGGGGAGTTGTGGGTCATATAGTGACTGTATGTTTAATTTTTTGAGGAACTGTCAGACTGTTTTCTAAAGTGGTTGCAGCATCCTGTCAGCAGTGTATGAGGGTTCCAATTTCTTCATATCCTCAACACTTGTTGTTATCTTTTTTGTTACAGTTGACTTTTTTTTAAAACTTCAGTTTATTTTTCTAGAGAAAACAGTGGTTCTTATACTTTAGTTTGCATTAGAAACACTTGAGGAAACTTTCCCCCCTTTCAATGTTAATTTACTCAGCACATATTAACTGCAAACATACTGTGATCCACGTATATTCTTTCCTTGGGAAATGATTACAGTTGACTCTTGAACAGCATGCATTTGAGCTGCACAGGTCCACATATACATGGATTTTTTTTTTGTAACTCTCTTTTAATTAATTTATTTTTTATTGAAGGATAATTGCTTTACAGAATTTTGTTGTTTTCTGTCAAACCTCGCTATGAATCAGCCATAGGTATACATATGTCCCCTCCCTCTTGACCCTCCCTCCCCTCTCCCTCCCCACCCCACCCTCTAGGTTGATACAGAGCCCCTGTTTGAGTTCCCTGAGCCACACAGCAAATTCCCGTTGGCTCTCTGTTTTACACATGGTGATGTAAGTTTCCATGTTACTCTCTCCATACATCTCACCCTCTCCTCCCCTCTCCCCGTGTCCATAAGTCTGTTCTCTATGTCTGTTTCTCCACTGTTGCCCTGTAAATAAATTCTTCAGTACCATTTTTCTGGATTCCATATATATGTGTTAGAATATGGTATTTATCTTTCTCTTTCTGACTCACTTCACTCTGTATAATAGGTTCTAAGTTCATCCACCTCATTGTGTGTATGTGTGTTAGTTGCTAAGTCGTATCCGACTGTTTGCCACCCCACGGACTGTCGCCCACCAGACTACTCTATCCATGGAATTCTCCAGGCAAGAATACTGGAGTGGATTGCCATTCCTGTCTCCAGAGGAACTTCCCAGCCCAGGGATTGAACCCTGGTCTCCTGCATCACAGGCAGATTCTTTACTGTTTGAGCTATGGGAAGTCTGTGGATTTATCCACCTCATTAGAATTGACTCAAATGCCTTCCTTTTTATGACTGTGTAATATTCCATTGTGTATATAGACCACAACTTCTTTATCCATACATCTGTCGATGGACAGCTAGGTTGCTTCCATGTTCTAGCTATTGTAAGTAGTGCTGCAATGAACAATGGGATACACGTGTCTTTTTCAATTTTGATGTTTTTTTTTTCAATAAATATATACTACAGTACTACACTGTTGACAATAGGTTGATTTTGTGGGTGTGAAACTGTGGATATGGAGGGCCAACTGTAAAGTTATATTTGAATTTTTGACTACTTGAGAGGTCAGTACCCCTAAACCCTGTGTTGTTCAAGTGTCAGTTGTATACCAATTCTAGTGGGAGTGAAGTTATAGCTCACTGTGGCTTTGATTCACATTTCCTTGATGTCTAAGGTTGTTAAACATCTTTTCGTATGCTTATTGGACACTTGTATATCATGTTTGGAGAACAGTCTATTCAGATCCTTTGCCTACTTTAAATTGTGTTATTTGTCATCTTATTAAGTTGGAAGTATTTTTTAATATATTCTAGATACAAGTTCCTTATTAGATATATTATTGACATTTGGGGCCAGATAGTTGTCCTGTTCATTGTAGGATGTTCAGTAGCATCCCTGGCCTCTACCCGCTATATATCTGTCGTATTTTCCTCCCAACCCCCAACTGTGATACTAAAAATACCTCCAGACATTGCAGAACATACCCTGGGGACACAGGCAAAATAGTCTCCTTTGAGAAGCACTGATTTAGAAAAATCTAGTATTTTTTTGGTAACTTTTTATTTTATATGGGGTATAGCTGATTAATGGTGTTGTGATAGTTTCAGGTGAACAGCAAAGGGACTCAGCCATACATATACATGTATCTATTCTCCCCCAAACTCCCCTCCCATCCAGGCTGCCATATGACATTGAGCAGAGTTCCATGTGCTATGCAGTAGGTCCTTGTTGGTTATCCATTTTAAATATAGCAGTGTGGACATGTCCATCCCAAACTCCCTAATTATCCTTTCCCCCTGACTTCTCCCCCAATAACCGTAAGTTCGTTCTGTAAGTCTGTGAGTTTGTTTCTGTTTTGTAAGTAAGTTCATTTGTATCATTTCTTTTTAGATTTCGCATATAAGAGATAGCATACGATAGAGAAATCTAGTTCTTTTCCTCTCCCCTCAATACAGTCCCTTCCTTTCCTTATGGCACCCATTAATTCTTTTTCTTTAAAGAGTTATCTTTCCATTTAAAAAAATACAAGTAAACCCATATATTTTTAAGCCCCTCCCCTTCTTAGATAAATGACAGTAGACTGCATATTTTTTCTGCCTTGCTTTTTTTCACTCAACATTCTCTGCTGGAGTGGAGATCACTGTGGAAGGATATAGAGCTATTCTCCACTCATTTTTATAGCTTGCAATTCAGACTATAATGAACCATAACTTCCCAGCCAGATGGTACTTTTAAGTCTTATGCTCAGAAGACTTAATACAAGTGAAGAGTTCCTTATAAGGCTTTAATAGAAACATATTTCCTGACTAATGGCTGAAATGGCTGTGCCAGGCAAACATTGGGATTTCTTCTCTTAGAGAATACTTTGGGGTAGGAACTGACTTTACCAGTAGGTGCCACTGTTAGATAGCTTTGGCAAGGTTTATTCCTTGACTATCCTTTACTGTGTGTGTGTGTATTTTTAAAACATTTATACACAGGATAAAAAAGTAAAGCCCTAAAGAAAAGGTATAAAACTGCCTTTTACATGACCCTACCTCACCTCAGTTCCCTTACCCAGAGGTGACTACCTTCATCCGTTTCTTTTGTTATTCTGCTAAAGATTGTGTGTGTGTGTGTATACAAATGCCTACCTGCTCACATATATGGATATATGTTCCTTTAAAAATACATATGCTGGCATGCCTAAGACATCATTCCCCTTGCATTGTACTCATCACTCCACTTCAGTGCACAGGGATCTTCCAAATGCTTGCCTTGCTGTTAATATATGCATCATTCTTTATTTAAACAGTCTCATATTGATTAATATTTAGGTTGTGTCCATTATTTGCTGCTTTAAATCATGCTGCAAATTAGTATCTGTACATATGTCCTTGTAGCCACACATGCACACTTCTATAGGATGAATTCTTAGAAGAGGAATTGAGAAGTTGGAGGAAATGTACATTTTACATTCTGATAGCTTCTATACTCATAAGTGAGATGAGAACAATAAAACCTAATTGCTACTGAACATCTTTATGGCCTACAATCAGTTTGTTGGAGAAAAATAGCCTTAAGAGCCAGCATTTGTGAGGATGGGGAGAAGCCTTATTAAAGAAAAAGACTAAGGTAATAGAATCACCAGGCAGCAAACACCAGGAAGCCTCAGGAATCTCTTAAACTTGAGCAAATAACAGTGACTTACAGAGGGTAATAGCCA